AAAAGCTAAACGATAGAGTATCTCTTGGTGGTGTGCAGTGCAACCAATCAGTTACTCATAACTGGGGAAAATCTAACTCTCCCGGTACTTTGGAAAATAGACCCGTCCCAACTAGGCATCAGATATGGCCCCAACAAGTGAGCCCTGCATGGCCAGCAATCACTCCAGCTAAGTTACAGCCAGTGGATGCTGTGAAAGCGAAGTGTAGAACCTTGTAGAAAAAACTTTTGCAATCTAATAGTAATCTCCATCACGTATGTTCTTCAGTACCGAATTCCATGGATGATTTTTGCCACAGCTTTTGGGTACCAGATGGTGGATTGTACATTCAAAGCCCAGTTACATTGTTGCCATACATCTGGTCGTCACTCAAAGAACCAATCCACACGTAACCACGTGACGTGAATTCCTTGGATTGAAGGATAAGGGGGCACTATGTTCTGTCTAAGTACGAGCTATTCACACTGCTAATCAACAGCTCGTGGTCGAATGGTTTAGTCTTGAACTATTAGCCTGGAGGTCACGATCTTGATTGTTTCCAGTGCACACTGATGATGATTCCCGATAAAACCGCCATACAATGCTTCTAGGCTTTGTGGCATAAATAAATCCGTTTATTTAAAGAACGGGTTCGTCACTGGACTTTCCAACTCCCATCCTACCACCAGAACGTTTACTGTTGAAGTGAGTGTGGCGATGACCTTAGCGACAATAGTTCTGCAGCATTGAACTTCTCAGATGTGTACCGATACCATGGTTAATTTGGCACTGATTCACCAGCTTAGCTTGCGATTTAATGACTAAGCATGAAGCGAGTTAAGACAATTTTAGAGAATAGACTCTCAGTGACGAGGGGCGAGATTACCCAAGTGGTTAGAGCGCGAATTTACTGACCGGAAGGTCCGTGGTTTGACTTCCCCTGTCTAGGCTTGGACTACCTGGCAGTGCCTGAGCCCTCGTGCTTCCTTCGGGTGGCATGGCAGCTAGGCACCGGAAGAGTGCTACAGCTGAACGCTTCTTTTTTTCTCAGTGACGAGAAAGCGAGCCAGTGCAGTCGGAGTTATACACCCGAAAGAACAATCACTTCGGCAAGAGACAAGCGATTTCGAGTAAATCTTGGAAGTCAGCATCTACCGGAAGAAGCGTTTCACGCTATTCCATACTCCAGGGAAGCGAATCCTTTTCAGAGATAATCTCCTGTTTGAGCAGATGATATAGCTTGGTCTCCACGGGGAAGTTACTGTACTTTGGTCAATCGTGTCTTGACCATGAAATGCCAATTCCCGTTCCTCATTGGGATACTGTACCGAATCGACGTGTTTGTTGTGTGTTATTCGCACNTCATGTTCATCCTAGATCGAATCGGTTCCATGCCATCAGTGTAGATTTAAAGTTCCCTTAATAAGAGCTAGAAGGAGGATCCACCCATATCTTATGCAATGTCGCATGAAAAGGCGGTGATGTACGCATAGATTGCTACACAGATTTCGGAAGCGGCACAGATTAGTTCCAGATCTTTGAAATGGGGAATTCACCTCGTTCACTCCACAACGTGTTGAACTTGGCTGGACGAGGTAAAATATTGGTTAGAGCATTGACTTCCTTCGTTATCCCCCAAACGGAGCTTGTCCGGCGAAGGACCTCTTTGTGTTGGTGTAACGGTGGTACTACTGATGGGGGAGGCATGCGAGTAGTATGTTTTCTCGTCAATCCGCTTTGCGTCGCTTGAAAAGTTAGATCTATTACGGAATTTGTGGAGTCGCTTTGTAGCACTTGCTTGGATTTGAGCAACAGTCAATGATTTTCCAGAAAAGTTCAAGAGACGCAAAGCGGATTTACGAGAAGATATACTACTCACATGCCCTCCCATCAGTAGTATCACCGTTACTTAAAAAGCTAAACGATAGAGTGTCTCTTGGTGGTATGCAGTGCAACCAATCAGTTACTGGGGAAAATCGAACTCTCCCGGTACTTTGGAAAATAGATCCGTCCCAACTAGGCATCAGATATGGCTCCAACAAGCGAGGCCTGCGTGGCCAACAATCACTCCAGCTTAGCTGGACGCTGTGAAATCGAAATGTAGAACCTGGTCAAAAAACAGCCAGTGGATGCTGTGAAAGCGAAGTGTAGAACCTTGTAGAAAAAACTTTTGCAATCTAATAGTAATCTCCATCACGTATGTTCTTCAGTACCGAATTCCATGGATGATTTTTGCCACAGCTTTTGGGTACCAGATGGTGGATTGTACATTCAAAGCCCAGTTACATTGTTGCCATACATCTGGTCGTCACTCAAAGAACCAATCCACACGTAACCACGTGACGTGAATTCCTTGGATTGAAGGATAAGGGGGCACTATGTTCTGTCTAAGTACGAGCTATTCACACTGCTAATCAACAGCTCGTGGTCGAATGGTTTAGTCTTGAACTATTAGCCTGGAGGTCACGATCTTGATTGTTTCCAGTGCACACTGATGATGATTCCCGATAAAACCGCCATACAATGCTTCTAGGCTTTGTGGCATAAATAAATCCGTTTATTTAAAGAACGGGTTCGTCACTGGACTTTCCAACTCCCATCCTACCACCAGAACGTTTACTGTTGAAGTGAGTGTGGCGATGACCTTAGCGACAATAGTTCTGCAGCATTGAACTTCTCAGATGTGTACCGATACCATGGTTAATTTGGCACTGATTCACCAGCTTAGCTTGCGATTTAATGACTAAGCATGAAGCGAGTTAAGACAATTTTAGAGAATAGACTCTCAGTGACGAGGGGCGAGATTACCCA